TATATATATAGTGTACCCTATTTTTTAATGGAAAACACATCTTTATTTTCTATCTTGTTCACTGGTAAAAAATTTTTATTTTTTAAACAAAATTAATAAAGTGCACCTAACCTAACTCCAATCTGAAAACATTAAATCACAAACACTAGATGTGTATTGACCTTTTGGTTCATCCCCACAGTACCTCCTGACCAGCCACGCCTCACAGTTACCAAGACGACCACCACATCAATCACATTGTCATGGATACCTGGAGACAACGGAGGGAGCTCCATCAGAGGTGAGAGTGTCACACTGACAACTCACACAGCAGGCAGAGCTAAACCCAGAGTCTGATCACTGTCAAACAGAAAGGTGAAAGTTCACTTCCTGTCTGCTGTTTGTGCTCCACCCACGTCCACTTCACTCCAGCTCTGCTGGTCTCTGCTGGTCCAGCACAACGCTCAAGTCCTAAAAGCTAGATTAAAACATGGGAGAAAAGATTAGGTCCATTTAAGTGAAAGATTAAAGCGTTCCATCTTAAAGGCCAATCACAGAAAGGCTGTTTGTGGTGATTTATCATCGCTGTTAATCAAGCAGCTCCTGTCTTCAGAGATGCAGCTGCAGTAGAAKCTCTTTGAGATACCTACGGTACTCTGTGATATTTGTTTTCCTTTCCTGTTCATAGTGTAATTCATCACTGAGCGCACACGCACACACTTACACACACACCTGAGATTAATATTGTCTATTTGCAGCCTTGTATGTAGTGTGCTTCAGAGATGACTGTTTTGCTTGGTTGGTCACCCTGTCCTCAAACTGTCAACACAACCCTTTTGATTAAATTATGTAATCTTTCTGTTCATTTGTATTATTTGCAGAGTAGCTATGTGCTGAGAAAAAAAAGTAAAAAAAAAAAACATGGCATACTCTTTCCTTGTTCGTCTGAGTGGATAATACAGGTTTTTAGTGGGTAAAACTGACATATTAATCTTTTCCATATTTTCTTACCTTCAACAACTCTGGTTTAGGGTTTTCATGTAACCACAAATAAACATATATGTAGATTTGTTACTTTCAACAGATTTCTACAGAATTAATAAAATTTTACATATCTGTATTTCCGAAAAGTCGTATTCAGTTGTTACTGATTCAGCAATCACTCATTCAGTTTAACATTGTGTTGCAGAAGTCATTGAGAACCTTACGTGTTAAACTCATTCTATAGATTTACCTTTGTTTATAAATATATTACAAGGAAAATACATTGCAGTTGCTTCAGAACATTCAAAATCATTGTTCTCTTTAAAACTCCACAACGTTCTTGTTTTATTTTTTTTCTTGTTTGTTTTATGTTTTTTAGTTATGGTTACATTCTGCTGCTTTTTGATTTTACCTAGCCTTTTGCTACTTTTAGCTTTTAGTTACCATTGTTGTTTTAGTTTTTATCTTGTTGTGAGCTCGTTGGAGCATCTGTTTTGCTACTTTTTGTTTTTAGCTAGACTTTAGCTGTTTTTAGTCACTATTTTTTTTCGATTCTACATTTATAACTATCCTTTTGCTACTTTTACTTTTAACTGGCCATTCTGCTACTTTTAGCTTTTGGCCAGCTTTTTACTTTTGATACGTTTAGTTGACCCTTTGATACCTTTTAGCTTTTAGTTTGCCTTTGYTACTTTTARCTGGTCTTTTGCCACTTATAACTTTTAGCTAACATTTRTGTGTTTTCTAGCTTTGCATCTCCTTTAACTTTATCAACTCCATTTCATCTTTTGCAGATGCAGTCATCCAGCACTAAATATTAACTTGTATTTTCTCAGAAAAGGCAGTTTCTGTATTTTATTTTGAAATGTTTTAAAATTTCTGTTTGCCTCATCTCCCATCTCTAATCCCTCTTCTCTCCTCCCTCTCAGGTTACATCCTGCAGTACTCGGAGGACAACAGTGAGCAGTGGGGGAGTTTTCCCATCAGCCCCAGTGAGCGTTCGTATCGTCTGGAGAATCTAAAATGTGGCACGTGGTACAAATTTACCCTGACAGCCCAGAATGCAGTGGGTCCTGGACGCATCAGTGAGATCATTGAAGCAAAGACTCATGGGAAAGGTAAAACATTTGGCACAAGGGATTCAATTTATCTTTTCATTTTTATGCGTCTTGAAGCTCAGAATGCAGAAGATTTTAGGAATGTTATGTTGTTACCTGAGACCTGATGAAGTTCTACCATCTGTTCTTGTCTCAGAACCTCAGTTTGCCAAAGAACACGAACTTTTCACCAGCATCAACTCCACCAGGGCGAGGCTGAACCTGGCTGGCTGGAACAACGGCGGCTGTCCGATCACATCCTTCATCCTGGAGTACCGAGCYGTGGACTCGCCCACCTGGACCACGGCTCAGCGCACCTCGCTCACCAAGAGCTACATCCTGTACGACCTGCTGGAGGCGACATGGTACGAGCTGCAGATGAAGGTCACCAACAGCGCCGGCTCGGCAGAAAAGCGGATCACCTTCGCCACTCTCAACGCTGACGGAAGTGAGTTGGGCACAAAGGGACGTGCAGCAAGAGCAATTTTCCAAATGTCATAAAATGAACTTTAATTTCAAACAGTAGAACGTAATTTTATTTATTCACCAGGTCAAAATAATCTCTGTCCTGTTTTGAGAACATGTGTCAATAATTCGTAAAAGAAATGCTGCATGTTAGATTGTCATATGTGCATGCATGTGTGAAGGTTGACATGAAACCATACTGAGACTCAAATCCTCCGCAGTCTCCTCATAACCTGGTACCTGTTCTCTGTTTCCGTTTCGACAAAGGCACCATCCCTCCGCTGCTGAAAACAGGAGACCCCATCTCAGACAACATGTCAGGCAGTGGAGGTCTGAAGATGGTGGTGACCATCACGTCCATCCTYGTGGTCGCTGTGCTGGTTTTTATTATGCTAATGGTGCTAAAAAGGAGGAGGAGGGAACAGAGGCTGAAGAGACTCAGAGGTATGTTACAAATTAATTCTTCTTACATTAGTTTGTAAAACATTTGTTGTATTATTTGATGAAAAAAAAGTGGACTATATTTTCTTTAGTCTTTACAATATTGGGTCAGGTCTTTTGAATTGGGGCTTTGTGGAAATGTTATCCATTTTTTTGCTCCATATCTGTGGTTGGGTGAAGGGGAGACTTGCATCCCTCTCCCCAACCACAATCTCCAGCTTCTCCTGGGGATCCCAAAGCTTTCCCAGGCAGGGGACGACACAAAGAAGAAAGATTACGTACAATTAAATCAAACGTTATAAATCGACTTGAGCAACCTTTGGTTTGGAGAAAGAGTTCAATTCTGAAGAGACTGATGAGCTAACTGCTATTAGCCCAAATAAGGCCAAGATCAGCTTCCATCTCAAACCTATATTTACACTCAGTCTCACATTACACAATATTTACATATAAATCTTTGATTATTTGTGAGTGATACAGCATCAGCTAGCTAAAGTATATCTGGTGCAGTCTGGGTCCTTTCAGCAGGACTTTAATAGTTAATAAACGTTGTTATAAAACTTTACACTGCCGTCAAAGTCATTGTACACAGTAGTTTTTATAGCTCAAACAACCTTTGTATATACCTCAGAATATTTAGATTTTAGAGATGTGACAGTGTTTGGACTAGCAATTAGTTCATGAATCTGGTCAGGATTAAGCTCAATTTATTTTCAAACTGATGTTTAAGATCCATCTTTGACTGGTAAGATATGACTTATATATTATTTGTCCATAAAGCTCGACTTTATGCACATTTATGTCCATTATGCTGATTTTTAAAATGTCAAAATGCACATTAAGTCTGTAACATATCCAGATGAGGTAATAATTCTTTAAAAGCATTAGAGAGAGCATCTTTCAAAACAGCCAAACTAATAATGCTGATACAGTTTATTCGTTGAGAAACTTAAATATGTGWTTGTATGTGTGTTATACAATGCTATGGTACCTTTAAAGTACCATTTTTTCAGGGGACTCCTCAGTGCTTTAAGAGAATTCCCATGGCTCTACCTTAACAACATGACACCAGTTTATTATAGCGTTAACCATGTCTTTGCTGACTTTTCAGATGCCAAAAGCCTGGCAGAAATGCTGATGAGGTATGTATTCATAATCTTAATTTGTGCACACTCCTTTCCTTTTAGTCAGAGCATAAATCACGCTGTAGACTGAAGTTACAGCACCTTTCAGTAAAAATCAAATGTATTGCCTCTGGGCTGTCCTTTTTTTGCTTTTGTACAGCTTCTTATCAACTTAAGTGGACCTGAGTTTGCATTTCTGCGATACAATGCARCGCCACACCGCTGAGTAGTGATGTRTTTTTTCTCATCTATTTCAGTAAGAACACACGAACGCCCGACACGGTCAACAAGCAGCAGCAGACTTTACGAATGCACATCGACATCCCCAGAGCTCAGCTCCTCATCGAGGAGCGAGACACCATGGAAACAATCGGTGAGACGCTGGAAGTGAGACCTCTGCTTCTTGGTCATCATCTGCTTTAGTACAGCTTCAACCCTTCTTCCTCTCTTTTAGACGACAGGTCCACTGTGCTGCTGACAGACAATGACTTTGGGGAGACTAATAAGCAGAAGTCTTCCACGGTGACGCACACGGTCCACTACCAGTCTCTGTCCCAGGCCACTGGGCCCCTGGTGGACGTGTCCGATGCTAGGCCTGGAACCAGTGAGTCCCACCACCGTCAGTGCTCAACATTTTTTTCCTTTACTACTAACACTRGTTCTGTTCTGTCTTGTTTTAGTAACACTAACCAAAAATTGTCGTGTGCATTGAACAGTGTTTGTTTAATGTTTGGCTCTTTGTTCTGGTCCTATACTCTGTTTATATTAATTAAAGAACATCGACACAAAATGCAACCAAAGGCCACCTAATGTAAAATCATCTTATGATGGAAAATGACAAGAGTTATAACTGTCCTGATGCATCTCAGTAATCCAGTTAAAAAATCAAAAAGAAAAAAATTGTATAGGTCCTCTGGACGGGTTCTTCTC